ACAATAGACTTTTTTCCCACCTCTCTCGTTACTTTTCCTTCCTGCCCACTCTGCAACCACATAAATCTCTCTTCCTCTGTCTACCATACTTCCAGATTTGTCTCTCTCCATCTTTCTACCAAGAACAAAAAGAAAAAACACACACATGGAAGGAGGAACGAGAGGAAGAACACAGAAAACCCACACCTGCATCGATTGTCCTCTGCCTTGGGTTCTGCTTTTTGCTGAATCATTGGTTTTCTCGAAGGAATCATTAGGCGCCGAACCACGCTAGCGGACAACGGCAACTACGATGTTCTTCTTCGACAGAGGCAGGGTTAGTTGGGACATGCGATTAGGGGGATCGGTGTGTTTTGGGTTCGTTCCGAACAAGGAACGGCGAAGGGAAGGTTGCAGGGGGAGAAGGAGGATGAGAATGTTCCTTTCTTTCCTTTCAGTTTCGTTCAGTTGAGAAAGGCAGACATGGGCGGGTCCGATGTTCTTCTCCGACGGAGCTAAGGCTGATCGGGACAAAAGAATCGTCGATGGGTTCTGGGTTGCGTCGGCGTACTTGGTTGGGTGGTAAGTTTTTGCTCTTTGTTTGTGTTCGTGCTTTCATTCCTTTTTGGGTTTTAATTTCTGCTAAACCAGTGTGTTTCTCTATGGATTCGTTGCCAACAAAACCACGGTGGCGACAGCCTTGCCTGGGGAAGAAGGATCTTCATCCAGGTGATTGGTTGGACTGTGAGTCTATGGTCTCTCTTTTACCCATGCCCACTGGTTTCTCCAGGTTGAAGAAAAGGAGGAAGCAAATGGTAAGTTTCTACACTCTATTTCTTTTCATTTGTTGGTTCCATTTAAGGCTTTCGTTTTTGCTAAACTGTTGCGGTTTTCATCAGGTTCATCGCGGTAGAACGGTGTCAACGAGCTTACCTGGGGAGGAAGATCCTCCAGCGAGTGTTTGGTTATATAGTGGTTTCTGGAGTTTGAAGAATAGGAGTAATCAAATGGTCAGTTTCTACACTCTGTTTGTGTTCATTTTGGGTACCTTTTAACCTTTAGTTTTTGCTAAACTGTTGTGCTTTCAATGTGTTCATGTCCCACTAAATTGTGGATTTGTGGTGTTGACGACCTTACCTGGGGAGGAAGATGTTCCATAAGGTGTTTGGTGCAAAGGTGACTATATGTCCTCTGTTTTTGAAGATGGACAAATGGGAGGAAGGAGATGGTCAGTTTCTACTCTCTTCTCATTGCAAGGATGAACAGTTCTACAACCCTATCTAGATGGATTTGTGTCTTTTACGTTTTCAATTGGGTTTAGTGTTGTTTCTTTGTTGTTTGTGATGTTAAATAATTTACTTTTTTGCTCTCATGTTTGTTTTTGCCAGCAATGTTGTCTGATGAGGGTTAGGGGAAACGCAGATAGGGGGTTGCAGGTTGTTGAGTTTGATTTGCCCTGCTGAACGAGCACATCTTCTCTATTAATCTGTGTATATGCAAGCAAGGTGAGACTTTTGTTTTCTTTGTTTGGCTATTTCCATCTTTTAAGATGATACGGAAGTGGTTAGTAGCTGTTGTGGGATTCCAGGAACATCAAGCACCCGAATGACGGGTTGTGGATCTTATGCCTTAAACGAAAAGGGTGGCCTTCCTTTCATTCGAGATCACTTACTGGTTTTTATAAGAAAGTAACAAAATTATGTACAATGCGATTAGTCTGCTGGAGTTTTTCTTTGGTGGTGGATGTGTTGGTGTCGTTTTGTAGAAGTAGGGAAACCCAGTAACATGTTCATGAATAATCTTATAACCTTTTTGAGAATTTCATACTTGCAACTCAAATGATGTGCCTGCTCTGCCTTTCAGTTTCTGCGTATATGCTTTTGTCGTTGAACCTGGCTGGAACTTTCTTTTGATGCGTATGCAAACCTGTATCGTCGCTACTTGGTCTCTATTTGATTTCCCTTCATGCAATGAGAATTTTGTGGTTTCTATTTGATTTCCCTTCATGCAATGAGAATTTTGTGGTTTTTGTAAATTCAATATGCTTTTAGACTTATGGTCCTCGCATGATTGTTTTTTTGTTAGGCTGGAATTGTTGCATGGAATGAATCAAAGAAGGAACACCACGGCATGAGCTTAATCGTTCTCAGTCTATGCAGCTTAGTATCATCCTTGCACGGTTAACCACATGTAATATGGTTCAGGGGTGTTGGGATTTCTTCTTTTAGAGTGTATAGCAGTTTCTTCCCTTTATTTTTGCAAGGATGATGTGCTCATTATATCTCTTTGTTTAATTTACTGTAGGATCCAGTTCCCCATCCATGGCAGAGGAATTTTCCATTTCCAGCGCGCAACAGGGTGAATTCGATATGGGAGAATGAAGTAGGAGAATAGGTCATTTGAAAAGGATTTCGTTACCATCATGTGTTAGATTGTATCTGGTTTAATGGATATTTTTCTTTGGTGAATTACAGATTCTTGATTGTATTTCTATCCTTCCAGACTACTCTCAACGACGGATTTCTGGGACGGCTACGACTTGGTGGTATCTTTACCCTCTTTTCCCTTTTTAAAATGCCTCTTGAAGGTTCGTCGAATTGGATCTATTTCTTAGGTAGTCGCCTGAGTGATTGCTCTATCACATCTGTTTCTGTTGCATTTCATTTTTCTATGTTGTTTTCCCATGATGTTTATCGTTTCTTGCTTTGTTGATTGTTATACAGGAAGATGGATGAGGTCTCTCCAGTTGGCTAAACATCTCTCATCTTCCACAACCCGTAGGGAAAGAAAAGGTTAAGGAAGAAACTCAATTTTGGGTAGGTACTCAATTTTGTTGATTTAGTTAGAGGCTTACTCTTTTCTTATGCCATGTTTTTATTGGATATGTACATTTACCTTCTTTGCTTCAGATGGCAACTCCAGTTTAACAAGATCGTTGCTAGGGGCAAAAAGTTAAGATATGGCCTCAGCACCTACCGTTGCATCAATGTCCGGGTCTTGCAGTAGGTTTGCCCCAGGTCTGAGACCAGGCAACTATCATGATCATGCTTCGGTCAGTTTGGCTTCCATGCCGAGATCTTCCTCTTTTGTGCTTCAATTTATGCTTCTGTGATTATATTTTGCCTGTATGGTAGGCAGCTGCCTGCTAGGATTGCAGTGTCCAGTTTGCATAAGAACACGGTTAAGTTGTTGATTGGGGTGTGAGCTTGAAATGTATGGTTTTATTAGTTTAGCGTGTGATTTGCTATAAGATGATGCAGTCTGATGGTTATGCATCATCGGTTCAGTAAAACGTCTACATTGGAACCTATGTGTACTGTAATACTCTCATATAGATCTACTATAGAAGTTAGATAATGCCTTCCGCGTTGAGTACTGTGGTAGGGGGAACCAATGGCGGAGAGGTCATGTCAATCTTCTGGTTCTCTAGAGTGAGTAGGATTGGCCGGGCATGGGCCTTGAAAGAAAAGAAAGGGGATAAGGCTTGAAGGATACTCCGCCACCAAGCAGATAGTTTCTTTGGGAATTTCGGTTTTATTTGGATCACCATTTATTTAGTTTCCTCTAGCTAGGAGAAGCCTCTACTAGCCTATTTGTTCACGTTCCGAGTTTGTAGATCCGGATATGGTTCTCTGACCTAGAGATTGATTCTTCCTTCCAGGCCACAATTGGTCCACAATGGAGAAGTTTTTAGCACATGATTCTTCCTTCCAGACCACGACAGTCTCTTTTTGAAATACAATCATCTCAAAATAAGCAAATTTCTTCAGGCCCGTGTAGCTAACTCCCAGACTGCATAGTGTTACATAATTACTAATCTTAAATAGATGTCTTTTGACTTGTGTTCTACCACAGAACTTCCATGTTTTACCGTATTTTGTGGTCTCTTTACATATTCATTGTTTTTCATGCATATTGCATACAGGCTGCGTGTTTTGTGCAATTGATTGGCCAGTGGATTGTTCCTTTAAAATACTAATGACTTGGTTAGTTGCATTTTTTGGCGAAGAATTTCCACGATTTCCTTAACCAATCTAACTGCATCGCACCTGTAATACCATTCGTTTCCCCTAAACCTGTTGTTGCCTGCATATGAAAGCGGCCTGTTTGGTTACCAAGTCGTGAATACCAAATCATTCCTTTTATGGTTCTCTGGTCTTTTGTTCTTTCATTAGCCGTCATTATCCCTAATTAGGACTCCATATCATCTCTTGCGTGGTTTACAACCTTCATGCATTCCTTGGCAGTTGGCACCAGCTGAGGGGTTGTTTATATTTCCAGAATCAAATCTCCAGTTTATTAGTTCGGTCCTTTTTTCCTAATCTATCACAAGGATTCCAATAGCTGCTAATTTGAATAAAAACTTGGTTAGGTTGATATTGTGTTCTTTGGAAAATGCTCTGCAGACATAAAAGAAGATCAGTAGCATGCTTCCCGATATGGAGTGAAGGAAACCAAGGAGATCTTCAAGCTGCTTCGAGGTTTTGATGAAGTTAAAGCCGAGGTTGATAAACTGGTGGTAGAGTCTGCCACTGATGTTAGGGAACATGAGCTCCATCTCCATACCCGGTGGCTCCGTGTTCAACGGCTGGTCGTTGACAGTATGAAAAAGGTGGGTGGAATGAGTTCGCTTCAAAACAGAGCATCATGGTGTTGTGAATCAGAAGATGGAACAATCAGTTTAATGGGAGGCGATGGATCCAGATGGTTAGTTTTCTAAGTATGAATCCAAATGGTTAGTTATCTATACTGGTTTCTTTCCTCTTTGTGATTCCTTATAATTTTTGTTGTCTGCTGATTGTCCATAAGAAGGATGGGTCTGGTTTCTCATAAATATCAATGTGAGAAAGCATCAAGCATTGGTGTTGAAAGACCTTCACTGATGACTGCAACTTTATATTGTGAGATTGCCATTTTTAGCATAAGGAGTGTACTGAATTTCCTTTTTTGAAGTAATGGGAGTGTAGTGAATGATACTGAAGGTTATGGGATTTTCATGAAAATGTTGTGCTGCCATCAGCACTCTGCATAATGTAGATTGTAGCGAGGAAAGGTCAGTTCGAAGAGGTGAAGGACAAGTAGAGGCGCTGGAGCTTATCCTCGAACGTGAGACGAGTTCAGACTATAAAATTTCTCACCTGTAAGTTTTACTTGCTTTGTTTTCTGCAAACTCTAGCATCCTAAAACAAGAATTAACTATGCTTTGCTCAACCTGGATTAGCTCATCTTTGGCAACCTCTCTTTATGTGCTTTGCCAAAATTTGTATCTAATTGTGAATCTCATTAATGGATTCCTCTGTTGTGTGGAAGAAATTCCAGTTGATTGGAGTTTGTTTATGTTTAATTGACTTGTAACTTGATGTAGCAGGTTGTGGATGCTGTGTAACTCTTTGTCATAGTTAATTTTCATAACACATTTCTTTGTCCATGCTAATTCAACTGTAAATTATCAGGTTGGGATGCGGGAATGCACTGCAGTGTGTATGGAAGTCATTGACATGGGAGATGGGAGGAAGATCTATTGGGCAACTAGATAGGTGAGGCAAGAAACTAGCATAATTGGTATGTATTTCATTTCCATTTTGTAGTTTTCGGTTGGTGTATTCAAAATGTGTTGGTGATAAACTTTCTTTCTGTGTTTCATTTATTTATATAGTTGTAGGTTGTAGATCATGAAGGAACCACAGGGGTTGGTGACAACAGTTCCAGGCGACCAGGAGAATGAAAGGTTTGGTTCTTTTCAAGCGACACTAAGACTTGATGATTGGTGCTTTGATTTTTCTCAGCATAGGGGCAAAATTTATCTCTATGGATTTTAGAAACCTCTCTGTCGTGTTAAGAGTACCCTTCCTTCTATCGATGCTTTTTCCCTTCCAGTTCTCTTTTACAAGTGGTGAATTTAAATCAGGGCCTCTAAATTTCACCCTTGAACATACTTCGCTCTCTATGTTCTCAAGCACCTAGCAATGATTGTTCTCTTTTCCCACCTATATTATTACTTCAAATCTCAACTGTGTTCTTCCTTTTATGTATGGAATAGAAGCAATAGTTGTTGTGGTTGGCAATGGTTGTTCTCTTTTCCCACCTATATTATTACTTCAAATCCCAATTGTGCTCTTCCTTTATGTATGGAATAGAAGCAACAATTGTTGTGGATGGAAATGTGGGAGTGACTTCCTTGATGGTTGTTGTTGTGATTGTTTCTTATTTCAGGCGAGGAGGTGCTTTCAATGTAGGGATTAATTAGTTTGACAAGTTGTTTCATTCATCATCTTCGGCGGTTTCACCGCCATTCTGTCAATTGTTTGGCCTGTAATTTTGACCATTGGTAGTGCGAGTAGTGCGTTTCAGGGAACTTTGATTCAGGCCATCGCTCCGGCCAACCTCATCCAACACTTCACCGATATTTTGCAGTTGGGAAGTGTTTACCTCAAAGAGTCTCTATCGTGTAGTGTGTTAAACATATATCTCTGTTTTCAGGTGCACACTATTAAACCTTTGCTTTTTATATGTTGCTGATGTGTCTCCTCTACTATGCCTTGGACAAAACTGTTGCCGTCGACATTGCTTTGCTGCTGTCTTATGCAAATTAGAATGGTTTTGTATTATATAAGTTTTCATTCTATGGTTTTATCTTTTCTTCCTCTACTGTTGGCCGCATTTGCAAGTGTAATGTTATTTGCCTTTGAGGTAAGTTAATTGGCAATTCGTAGTTCTTTGTTCTGCCAATTGTGGCCAGTTGTCATCCATGTGTTTATATAACTTTCTTCGTTCGAGGCCATAAGGAGATAACCGTACAATATCATTTAAGTCATTAGAAAATTGTATTTGCGTTTTCTTTGGTTAGATAGTTTTTCCCCACTTATTTCTCAAATTCACATTCATTTTGGTTTTGGGATTATAATATCAGGGAATGCATGGATTCACTCTAGGTAGCAGTAGAATGGAGGAGTGTCGACCAAAAAATACCTCTTGCCAAAGCAAAGCAACCCGCAAGGAACTTGAAAGAACAGTTGCTTTTACTGCTATATTTTTCCCGAAATGCATTGCGAGTTCAATTTCTTGAGTATATGTGCTTACTTTATGGTTTCAGTCTCTTATTGATTAGGTTCTGTTGTTTTCATTCTGCAACTCCTGGAACTTTTGAATATTGCTGGGGGAGCAAGCCTGTCAAGGTTGGTGACTGTAACTAGAGCATATGTATGTTTAAATTTTCCCCCTATGTCCTCAGTTTTTAGCCGCTGAATCACTAGCTTGCGATGCTTTCATTATATGCATACTGAAGGTCTGAAGGTGTTCTAGCTTGTACTGTTAATAGTATGAAGTGGCTTATACCCGTGTTCTCTTTGTTGAAATGCTTGCAGCCAGGCATGTGTCTAGCTCTTGCCTTATTTCTCCATCCATTAAGTGCATTTCCCTGCATGTAGAGAGGTAAAATATGCAAAAGATAACATATTTGTGTTGTTTTGTAACTTGGTCAGTCTGTGTCTGAGTGTGTGTTTGCATTTAGACCATTTCTCCTAAGCATGTTGATTCATTCAAGCTTTATGTGTCTACATAGGATGAGAACACCATTTTAGTTCTGCTGCCCAAGCATGACCAAATGGAATGGTGGAAAAATTTGGTGAAAGGAGGTCCTGAAATCAATACACAGGAGGTAGAACCCGGAAACAGCAAGCTTGCTGACCCATACCTTGAAACACACCAGGTTGTCGAGTAGACGATGGTAACTTATTCGTGCCCTACTCCACCCCTATAATCTTGTGATAAGCTTAACCTGATATCTCTTTTGCGATTGTTGTGGTTTTATTTGTGCAGCTGACAGTACTTTTCATATTTTTATTACCTCTAACTGATCATTCGTGCTTAACCTGCAGTTTGATCAGATACAGAAACAAATGGGCCTCCCAACCAACGATGAGATTCAGAAGCAGGATATTCTAATGAGGCTTATGCCGAGCTGAGTTGCCATATATAAACCTCTAATCTCTAACCTTCTGGTGCCTTTTTTCTCTGCCACGTTGTTAACCTGGTGGTTGGTTTTGGTTGTTGACCATCCAGAGATGCATTTCGCAAGGACAAAGATAAACTAAAATAGTAGCGAAAGGGTCCGACATGGGTTTTCTTGAAGGCTGTGAATTTACAGCCTGTGTGATTTTGGGTTGAAAGTACTTTGGTTAATAGGTGTACAAGACATTTGAAAGAGAATGTTTGGATTTGGTTAGTTTTTTGAAGTTATTTGCTTGGATAAGAGCCTTAAATGTTCCTTTTAGCATTTTCCATCCATTTTACCGTCTAACTTGCGTAATACGTTTTTTATCATTGTTACGCGAAGCAACGCGAGCGGGTCTACCTAGTAAATATAAAAAAGAGTAGAGAGAAGGCCGCATGCATAACCAAAAAATTCCGTCGCCCAAAATACGACAGATTTCTTTGTTGGCCTTGACAATCAGTGGTCCGTTCAGGGATGCGAGAAGTCTGTTTCCAAAACTACCCCTCCGTGAAACGCTCCGGAGGCAGCAAATTTGAAATGGGGAAGCTGTTTTTCTCTTCAGCGTATTATAGTATGTGTAGATTATAAGTAGTCTAGATAGATCAAGAATAATAATGACACGTAAACCCCCTAGAGCTATCGGGTAAATGAGGATATGGTTGTGCGTGCAACTGTTGGATTGGGAAACGAATTAAACTTATGAGAACTTAAATCCAACAGTGAAAGACATTTTAGTATTAAGGATTGGATCAACATTGTATTTGGTTCACTTTTATCTGGTTTGTTCCAGTTCAAATGTCACTTCGGTCCTTTTTCTTTAGGAATTATAAAATTTATGTGGCCAAGGACTGGATCATTTTTATATTTTGTTCAGTATGATTGAGTCCAAGTGTCGATTTGGTTCGATGTGGTCTGGTCCGAACCAACCCGTACACTTGTATAGTATCGGTTGGAGTTGGCTTGAGTACGAGTTAATTGAATCTTTTATGTCTAAGTTATAAGGTTTTATGGGGAAAATCCTAGAGAGTGAATTCATAATTTTTTATTAATTAGACAAAATACACTTGTATAATCATAACTCTAGCGTTTTTGAAAATAATAAATAATTTTTAAGAAAGCAAAAATGTAGACATCTTTGTGACGCTCATGGACAAATATTGTAATTTTCGTTTAAAACTTTAATATTGTTAGAGAAGCCTTCGGTTACGTTAACAACATGTTGATGTCGGTGTCACGCCATATTTAAACATACAGTTATATAACCAAACTTTGATGCTAATGACAATTTTTTTTTGTATTCAACGAAAACAACATTTTTTTGTATAATGACGAATAATGTCATTTCGTCCAATAAACCCGTTAAATTTAACATAGGTCTTATAATTTATGACTAGACTAACTATATCCAATTATAAAAATAAAACAACTCGTCCAGCATCGGATTCATATAGAATTTATAATCTTCTTCCTCTCTTGAACAACCATCAGTCACCTAAACCTTGCGACCTCTGCCGCGCAATTGAAGGTAATCACATCCACTTTAGACTCTACTACTCTCTAACAAAAACTAATCCAACCCGGCCACTGGCCATCTCCATAGTCCATTGATCAATGGCGGCAACCAATAATATCCATTCATTTATTCTAAGATTTCAGTTAACTTTAACTGTTTTATTTGTTATTATGCAAAACTGACTATATTTGTTTTTCTGCAAAAAATGGTTATATTTGTTATTAGGATCAAAGTTTTGACCATACAAATATTATTTGACAATTGGTATGCCTTGCTGATTTGGAGCTATTTGAAGTTGACATGATGTCCGCCTCGTCGTCAAAATGTGGTTAAAGTAACTGACGACATTAGAGGTGGCAAATGGATTGGATTGGTGGATCCATGGATCAAATGGATTGGATCTAATGGATTGGTGGATTCATGGATTGGTGGATTATCCATGAATCCAAATGACATCCTCAACCAAAGACCAATATGTAAAATGTAAAAAGTTTAGGTACTAAAATGTCATAATGAAAAATTTTAGGTACCAAAATGTAATTTTTCAATGATATTTTCGTATAAAAAATAAAATTTCAGTTGCCAAAATGTAAAAAATAAAAATTGTAGGTACTAAACCGTAATTTGCCAATGATCCATGGATCCAATCCATGAATCCACCAATCCAATTGGATTTGGATCAAATGGATTGGATTAGGTGGATATTTTTAATGAATTGATGGATTGGATTGGTGGATTAAATTGAAATTGCCACCCCCTAGACGACATCTCTAATGTCGTTAAATTTTTTAATGAAATCAAATAACCATATTTATGAGTTTTTAAGTTGACTTTAAAAGTGTATCGCATATTAGTTATCTCAAACATGGTGACAAATCTGTTAAAAAAACGAAGTTAATCAACTGATTCATTTAGTGGCACCAAAGTTCAGTGACCATTCCTGTAATTCAGCAGAAAAAGAAAATGTGGATTCAGAAGCTTTCATCAGAACCGTCCATTTCAATTAATAACAGGTCAAATTATCATCAACATTGTTAGCTGAAATTTGATATCTAGCTTCAACAAGCCCAAAAGCTAAGCAAAAAACGTATAAACAAGTTGCTGCACTGAAAGTGATTTCTATCCCCACCCGTTCCTGGCCTGAATCTGAAATTTTGACCTCAACCTCAGATGTTGTCTAACTACTTGGTGATCAAAGCCTCTTGCACTTGCCCATCTGCGCAGAGATTCCAGAGATGCACCACAGATGAGAAAACGGAAGATAATGATGATAGGTAACAATGGAGGTGCAAGTTCAAGGGTGGGATATGACTGACCCCTGAGTTGAACTCCCTGGTTTGCTAGTGCGTCAGCTTCAGAGTTGAATTCCTGGGATAAGCAATTGTTTTCTCATCACACATTCGAATTCAGACCTTATTAGGTAAACATTCCATTCTGAATCAGCATATGTACTTACCCTCAGAACATGTCTGATCTCAAAACTACGGAACTTGTCCTTGAGCTCTTTCGCCTGGTTACCCAATGCGATTATGTTCGGGTTTTTTAACTTCCACTTGCCCTGAATCTGTCCAAGCACACAGACTTAACTCATTAAGGACTATGAACACGGCTTCCAGCGCAGTTGAAATCGGCTATTACTTCATGCACATGAATGAAATAACAAACCTGCATACAGACAAGATTAGAATCCCCTTGGACACTGATGTCTATAAACCCTTTTTTGAGGGCCTGCTTCATTCCCAGAAGCACGCCTCGATATTCAGCAACATTGTTCGTCGCAATCCCCACGCCTTCAGAGAACCGCCACACCTGTGCCAAAATAAAACTTTTGGATCAAAATCTGCACACAGTAAATTCAAGAACAATATAGCAAAACAGAAGATGACTTTCTGCCAGATCAAGGAGAGCTTGTTTCACCATTTTTCCATCAGGGGAACACAGAACAGCTCCAGCACCAGCTGGTCCTGGATTTCCTTTTGATGCACCATCAAAATAAATGATCGCCGGCAACTGGGATAAACATAATAATTGACATTTGTTGTTAGAAACATAAATGCTAGTAAAACTCACAAATCAAATGAACATAGCAGACAAAAATTAATATGTAGCATACTTTTCAAAGAAACTGAGACATAAAAAACCACAACACTGTTAACTTCTAAGAAAAGAGCTTTAGAAAAATGTAGCATACTGATGTATTCTGCAAAGACCAACTGTCTATGATCATGTACAATTAGGTTTAGGGTTTTGGTCCTCTACGATGCATGGATCTCTCACCTTCAATCATTTTACATTCAGGAAGATCTTACCAACACATAATAAAGTACCGTTTCAGCTAACTTAAAAGATTGACCAGGAACCTAAAAAGAATTCAGAACAAGCACTACAGTGAAACTTTTCAGCCATGCCTAATTGCCTATATGCAATGAAACTTAAGAAACAGAATCGTGAACATCATATTCCGACAACTACAGGCAGAAATCCTGGTCACCATAGCATGAATAAGTTTCTCCATACATATTTGTTAAAACCTCTACTTCACAATCAAGACTTAAGGAGGAGAAGTACAATATCTAGATATCATGAATGCCAGGATGTCTACCCTAGAGCAAATACATAAATGGACAAGGAAAAAAAAGCAAAAAGCAAAACAATAAGTGAAATAGTAACTCTACACTGAGGAACTCACTGAGTTCGTTGGAACAGGTCTACTGCTCTCACTGTACTGTAACTTCGGATACTTGTTTGTGGAGTTTTCCTTGACCACATTCGATCCAGACATCTGCACCACAAAAGGCAAAGAGTTAACATAAGGACTCTTCAGCTAGTTAACTACGACCTAAATGACAATAACTGTAAATCTCCATTCACAAGTGACTGTTACAAACCATTATTCTGCATACTTCCACTTATTTCAAGTTTCTAGTTCTTGTTACATGTAAAGATATGTTCAGTACCAAAAATTATATGACTGTACAAGTTAAGGACTTACAGTCGATGCTTCGAGAGATCTCTTTGAAGAAGACTCCTTGTTGGAAGCTGGTGGCTGATGTAAGCAAAAACATGTGTAAAAAATGGTTAACCAATGTGTAAGCCAATAGAAGACACTTTCGAAGATATGCAACACTCGTTACTACAGCAAAACTAGCATCACAATCTTGATCAGAGAAATGAAAATTGAACAAATGCATACATTAAAACAACAATACACACAGATAACCAGAATTGGGACAACAGTAAAAGCACTTTGCAAAGAAAATGTTGAAGTCTACTCCCAACAACCATTAGAAAGCCTTTTCCATTTTCTAAATTGTAAGCTACCTGAATGCGGCAAGGCTCAAGTTTCCCGAAGAGATCGGTCTGAACATAGGTGGCACTGACAGAGTAGGCAGCATTTCTAAGCCCAAGTGAGGCAAGGTAATCCTCAGCATCTCTGGGCAAACCATACCCTTTGAACACACTCACTGAAGGATCGGAAACCTAGCATATAACCCATGCCGCAGGTGAGTAATCCAACAGCAGAAATCACCAAAAAGAACATGCCGCAAACTAATGCAAGTAGCCCATCTCCTTACAGTCAGTCAAAGCAATCACTTTTAGCAATAGTTCATCAAAACGACGAGTACCCAGAACATAATTTCCTCAATGAGCACTTGGGTATATGAAGGGAGAAGCAAAAAGCTTACAGAACAACCGGCTTGAGCTAGGCAGTCAGGGAAGCTCTTGTAGATTCCGACCAAGTCGCCTTTCCTTACAACGTAAAAAGCATCCTTCTCCCGCTCCATAGCTGAGAAGCAACTTTCTTTCTAGGTTTTCGAAGCTTGGACTGAACTGGCGGTAGGAAAAGGGGGAATGATGAATGGGGTTGAAACTTGAAACGGGGAAAAGGGGAAAGCTGTCGATTTCTTTCTTCACTTCTCCGACTCTCTCGTCTGCCGTAGCGGACTCCAGTCTAACAGCCAAAATCGCAAGTGCTTACGTTTCCGACGACAATTTCACTACCGAATCTTCCGGAATTCGAAACGTGATTGGACGCCGGAAGAAGTGACGGGGTATATTTTGGGCTTTGGCGGGAATCAGAACAACTGGATATCATTCTTGGGCCCAACAATCATCCAAGCCCATAACCCGTTCTCCTATCTTTGGCGGGAAATCAGCACTATCTCGCCGTTGTCCATAAGGCGGCGAACTCAAAATCGACGCTCTCTGCCGCGTTTCCGATTAGAAGACGGAATCCTCTATTCCTTTCCGATCAAGGCAATGATTCCAACGGTAATCCATTTTCTCTATATAAAGAAGAAACCCACACAGCCTAAACACGATTACTTCAGGAAATTTCCTTTTCGTTCCTCCCGTTAGCCGATACTCTCTGTTTTCTCACCGCCGCTCTCTGTTTCTCTCTCTCTCTGTTCCCGGCCACTGTCACCATGGCTCTTCCGCCGTGCTTGGCGAAAGGGAAGCACGTAGAGCTTCTCCACACGCCCCAATCGGAATTATTCGAGATCATCGAGTGCGCCATCACCGTTGCCGCGCTCCGCTGGTCGGAGGAGCTCCTGGCTGAAAAGGATCGGCTTCTCAAGGGTTTCGACATGTGTAAGGATCCCGAGGCCGAGGAAACGCCGATTAAGGAGACCCATCGAATCAGTAGGTCTCGTGCAAAAGAAGGAGCAAGCAGTGGAGAATCCAAGAAGAACCATTCACGAGAAGGTCGACTTGCCGAATCGTGATCGTAAATCGATGTCCAAGGCAACGACGGCGACGGCGACGACAAAAACCGTCAACCCCGGTGATCGCCGGAAAGAAGAGGATGCAGCATCGGAGAACCCCAGAAGAATCAAAGTCGACTTGCCGTCCAACCCTGCCAAACCCGCGCTCCAAAAGGCCGCTACTTCAACGACGGCAGCGGCGGAAAGAATTTCTCAGACGAAGCGTGACGACGAACCAGAGGGAGATTACGAAAAGAAATTGGAGATGACGAAGAGAAAGTTGCAGAGCGGGTATACTGCCTGCGAGGGGTCGAGAAAAAGGTCGAAAGTGATTGACTTTTGGACAGAGCTTCCGAAGAACACTCAGCAGCAGATTATTGGAGACAGGAACTTTCCGGCCGGCAGAGTCGACAACAAGAAGACCAGGAGCTCTCCCGCATCTTCCCAGCAGCAGGTCTGCCGACGCCGCCAACTGGTTCCGCCGGAGATTCAGCGCTTTCGTCCAGCTCTCCGTTGCTAGCCTTCTCATGGCGATTTGCTTCAAGTTCTGATCATGTAATTAACCAATCAATTTTGTTTTACCTTTGATTTAGGGGAAGCACTGATTCTTTTGTATAGAGTTAAAGGGTTGGAAATTTTGTTATGTTCTCTCCCTTTGGTAAATTTTAGTAGGTATTGAATGAAACGAACAAAGTTTTTTCACCATTATCATCTCTTTCCTTTTTCACTAACACATCTTTGATTGGAGCTAAGAATTTTCATCAGAACGATTGACTTCGCAATTCTCTTTGAGGAATTTTCACAAGTAACTGGTGTGCAATTTATCAAACCCCCAAATCCCATACGAAACCTTCACCCAAATTAAAGATCTGATAATGGGCTTACATAAATCTTGTGAAAGTGCTCAGCTTTACAAACTCCATGGCTACTAATGGATCCTGTAATACCTATTATCAAGTGCTGTGACTGCATTTTCATGGACACTGTCACGAGTCTGATAGTAGATCATACATATGCTGCTAAAAATTCAATGATTCCTACCAAGACATAATCATTCACACAACAACAATGGATAAGAAAAACCAAACATGCATAGTAAATTACCTGAAACTAGTGTAAAAAATGAGAGCTGCTTTGGAACCAAATGCTTGTATATCTGCAATCGAACATCATATCAGTTGGCTGTTGATATATAGTTTTTTGTTGCCAAAAAGATCATATAATTTTCAATAAGAATAGGGCAGCAGTGATGAAGATCATATTGTTTGGGGATCTGACTGAATGAATATATAACTAAACTTACCTGGCCCTGACAGCTCGGGGAGCACCACTGTTTGTTGCAGTAGTTAGTGAGATGGTTTCTTAATAAACAAAGTCGTGACTGTAGTTCATGTGATGGTCTCGTCGTTTACAATCAAACAGCTAATCTAACTCAAGAGATGGCGGCAAGACACCAGTTTGCCATGGCTGAAAATCGGCTTTGACAGGAAAATGGCGCAACTTTCTACTCGGATAGCTTTGTTCTTTGTAACTTAACGAACATCTCAATGAACTCTCCACGTGTTATGGAAGAAACCCAAAGCTATCGTAAAGAGTCCGGTCTATTGACACCTCTAGAGATAAAACACTTAATTCACGCAATTTTTCATTTATTCATATAAATTGGAGCTTATTCACGTAATGTAATATAGTAGTTTACACAAATCTTGGTGTAATGATGAAATCATGTTAAGAAAAATATCAAATTTGATTAAACTGTTACGTAAATAACAACTTATTTCACAAAACTTTAGTGTAATGCAAATAATAAATAGCTCATGGTGAAATTGAAAGTTTTGTATAGTGCATTTGTAATTACATAATCGTATGAAAAACCATTTCCACAAATCTTTGTACTGTGTAGTCTAATCTAGTGATAAATAGCTTATAGTGAAACTGAGAGCTTTATATAACACATTTGCATTTACTTAACTGTAATAAAATATTTTACACAAATCTTTGATTAAACTGTTGTATAAAAAACAGCTGACTTACAAATTCTTAGTGTAATGCAAACAATAAAAAGCTTATGATGAAATTTAGTATAGGGGATAAATGCCTTTTGTGAACAATATAAAATATATATGATAATTTCTTATAATTTCGTGATGAACAATGCACTATGCTTGCGCTATTAAATATATCATTTTTGTCGCACCAAAAAAAAATATATATCATTTTTACTTTTAACCCTTGTGTAAATTAAGGAGCTGTGTAGTATCATTTTCATTTTTCATTTTTTATGTGTGAAAATAGAGTGAAAACATGTTTAGCTATGTTTTCATCGATTTTGGTGGCAATAGGAGTTGACAATAGAGTATAGATTAGATGAAAACAGTGAAACAACAATAAGTATCTTTGTTGATGTTTTCAAAAGCTGTTTCTTGTGGAAAACTATAAGTTGTTCTAATAATTTCATTTAAATGAGTATATATCACTAAATCTCACTGGACCCACTTTTTACATATGAATTCCCTATCAATTTTTGCATAATTCATCACGAAAACATTATTGTCAATATTATTTTCATATTTTTAATTAATTAATTTTATCATAACTCGTCATGCCCCACTACTCCTCACATTATTTGCATATTTTATTTTTTGTCTCAACATTGATACTAAATGAGGCCTAATAAAGTAACTAAATATATAAAATTGTCAACTTTCATGATTTCTAGTATAGGTGGCAAATAGATTGGATTCGTGAATTGGTGAATTGGATCAAATGGATTGGTGGATTGATTCATGAATCTAAATGACATCTAAGTCTTGGATCAAAATGTAATTTTTGAAAAGTTTAGGTACTAAAATTTCATAATGAAAATTTTTAGGTACCAAAACATTATTTTTCAATTATAGTTTTCATATAAAAATATAAATTTTAGTTACTAACATTTAAAATATAAAATTATAGGTACTAAACCATAATTTTTCATTTGATCCATGAATCCACCAATTCAATTGGATTTCGATACAATGGATTGGATTTAAATGGATTGGATTAAGTGGATAATTTGGTGGATGGATTGGATTAGATTCATGGATTTCGATCCTAATTGTCACCTCTACTTTCTAGAATTACCAAATGAACATGTTTCTGCTTTCTAATTTTCATTGTGTCATAATTGTATTATTGATACAATAACTACAAAACTGTAGATGTCGTTTGGATGGACTAGTTGTTTTTAGGGCTGGGAAACAGTGCGGTCTGATCCAGACCGAACCATATATGCAGTCTACGGTCCAGACCTAGAGGTTAGAGTATATACCACATATCAAACCACGGACTATACAGTCCAGACCACACTTGTGCGGTCTGGTCCAGATAGACCACAGTTAACAAAAATGAACAATTTAATTAGTCAACCGCACAAAAAAGTGAACCAATAGCCAAGAAAAAATGCTTTATTTCCTTAAAACATAAATTCCTACATGCATGGATAATTTTGACACCATAAATCTCAGTAAATAATAAAGATACAAAGTCAAAACATCCCAACTTGCATCATAACGTAATAATATTTACATAATGTCATATGGACACATGATCGTCTCTACTCTCTAGTGAAATGTGGTTGTGAATGAAGGAGGGGACGAGATTCTCAAAATTAAGATTGAGACTTGGGTATCGTTGTGGAAGTTGGGAGAGTGGTGGAGTGGGTTGCTAACACATATTGAGAAGTCTGCTGGGCCTACGGTTTGGTCCGGTAAACAGACCGAGAAATCAAAACATCATATAATACAAACCATAGACCAGACCAAACCATACTTAATGGTCTACGACGCGGACCAAACTGTGCGGTCCGGTTTGGACCATAGTTTTTCAAACGGTCTGGTCTACTTTCCCAGCCCTAGTTGTTCACGTGGTATTTCAGTGGTAATTGGATTGAAGTATCACATTTGGTAGAATCATGCAATGTGGTATTTGGCATATCGTATTTGAAAAAACATGGTAGATGCGAGTTATTTCAAATAACTCGTTTGAGTTATAAATAACTCATGGTCCAAATAACTAATTTAAGTAAAATGGTGCCAAACATGTTATTTGTATTCAAATAACTCACTCATATCCTCCATCCAAACGTCCCTACCATGATTGTCATGCCAGCCGACATGTCACCGGTTGAACCTGGTTCAACCCGTGCCGATCATGAAACTGTCCTGACACCACCAACATGACCGGCATGGTCGATCTAAGATTTTTGTAAGTAAAATGACGTCGTTTTAGTGAATTTAAATATGAGGACATGTAATTTTATTTGAAATACCAAATTTTATTTAAATATCAATATGAATTGTACGTTTAAATTGTCTTTAAACGTTATTTATATATAATTAAATTTATTTGACATTAATGAGTTTTGA